TTAATAAACTAAGATAAGGGCATAAACGTGATGACTATGAGTGATTTGATAAAGTTTCTTTGCTTTTATATATTATGGTTGTACGTGATTTGATGAAGATTAAGACACTTCTTCGTTGCTCTTGAAGATTAAGACACTTCTATTATTTGTATTTAAACTAGGGGTGAGATTTTGGAATCGGGAACCATAAAACCGGTTGGAACCGAACCGTTATAATCCAGTTCGGTTCGGTTCCTACAAATGAGGTATTAGTTGTTAATGGTTCGGTTCATAGATGTTGTTAACGGTTCGGTTCTTGGTTCCTATAAAAAATGTGTGCATGGAACCGTTAAGGAACCGTTATTTAAAAAATAATAAATAAAATAGTATTAGTAGTAGTAATAATAATATAATAACAATCATAACCACCACAACAATGATAATAGTCATAATACAATACAAATTTAACTAACAATTCTAATTTTCCCTCAAAAGAAACCAACCATTCTAATTTAATCAACGAAAAAAGAAGTAATAAATATTGCACATGAGTTGATATAATACATTAAACTCATTTATACAAATCAAGTTCTGTTCCATCACATAAATTTTATAAATATAAAATAACCCAAATAACTTGTAGTTGATTGCACATATTTTACTTTACTATTTTCATACTATTTCTAATTATTAGATTTATTATAAATCATGGTACTAGCAAGTAGAATATAATAGTGTTTTTATATCTAAACAAGTGAACTCAATGTATTTTTTATGTTTTAAAAGACTTAAAGTAGAAGTCCCTTACTCTCTACTATGATGATGACTTTTATGTTTTATTTGTTACATGAAAAATTAAATCATCGTTTGTTCTATTAATTGTTCACAGTTCAGAAGTTCAGTTTGTGTTTTGATGTTTGAGTTCAAATAAAATCTTAATACCCGTGTTTTGAATTTTCGACGTCTTTATGTTGTAGAAAGTAAATTATGTGTTAATGGACTTAATTCTTAGATGAGAAAAAATTATTTTAGGAACCGGTAAAAGGAAGGAACCGAACCGTTTAGTAATGGTTCGGTTCCATAACGGTTCTTGATTTTTTACATAGGAACCAAACCGATTTCATTAGTTACAATTTTTATAACGGTTCCACTCATTTTGAGTAAGAACCGAACCGGTCCCAACCGTAATTTAAACTTTACAGACAATAGATGGCCTGGTGATAAGGTGATTACTATATATAGTATAGCTTTGTTGGATTGTGATTTGTGAGGATATTATAGACTATTTTTTGGAGCATATATAAATGTGAAATTCTATCTCTATTTCAATTGAAAATTATTAAAAAACACAATTGTTTCATCTTTAAAATATTGACATCTTTGATATGCCACAATAGTACAAAAATGTATCTAATATATTTGGCAACAGTTTTTTTTGTTACTGTTGGTAAAAACTGCTTAAAATTGTTGCCTAATTTATTTATAAAAAGTGTTCTCAATGCCATACCCTACTACTACAGTTTTCTTATTGTGTTGCCTTTATATTTAAAAACCATTTCCTAAAGTATAGGGAACGCCTTACATTGCCACAGTTTTAAAATTGTTGTTGAAAGTAAAGGAAACGATTTTTTATTATTATGCAACGATTTTTTCGTGTTTTGATACACCCAAAATCTTGTAGTGACTTCTCAATGAAAATGACACGATTATTTTAAAAAATAATTAAATCAAGTTTTTGAGTGATATTTGAAGACTTAATTTTGATTGATATATAATAAGTAACATTGATGATGGCCTATGATATTATTATAAGTGTATATATTTAATATTTAAGTTGCCGTTAAAGGGTGCTAGTGAGATGTTTTTTTATGATCCTGGTGTCGGTGGTTGCGCTCCCCTAATTCTGGAGTCTATTGACTACCCTCCAAAGCCTATAGACAGGTAAATCCGGATCTGATCACAGTCAGCCTCGTCGGTACTGGTACTACATGACGAATCCAGCAGGACACCCTTGTGACTGAATCCAGAAGGGCCTTTAACCTTGCAACTGAGTCCAGAAGAGGTCCTCCCACCACGCGAACTCGAGCCTGAATTTTCATCCTCTCCCTTCTTAGCCGCTGAGCAACTCCGTGAAGGTAGGAAGAATCATTGGGAGCAAGACCACCCTCATCTCCCCAAAATGCGTCTAGCGGATTTCGAATCTGAGACCTTAGCTAGACGCGGTAACCTTGCCTCTAGTGAACTGGAATGCTCGATTTGGTAGTGAGTTGCTTAAATTGAAGTGAAGTAACAAACTGGTGAAGTCATTACTTTAAAAAAAGTAGGGAAATGTTCACAAGAGTACCCTATGATCCGTGTTTAGATGTAGGCGTCTATAATTTAATTAATTTTCATCAAATTGGGGTGTGTGATATGATGTTGCGCTGGATTTCCGGTGACGGAGTGTGATTCATCTAATTAACAACAATCTTCAAGATCAAAACTGGACATAAAAATGCGCGCAAAAAAATTTTCTTAATTAAGAAACATGCATGCACAAAGATGGACGTTTATTCAAAAGTTATTGCTCTTAATAGGACTAAAATAATGAGTAAATTCTCAAATAGGAGTTATTGTTGATTTATTCCCAAAATAGGAGTTATCAAGTGACTGGGCCGTTCCTTTTTCCAATATTACCCTCCTTATCTGCAGCCCATCTTTTAGATCTGCCTCCGTGCCTCATACGCCTCTCACATCTCCCTTTTCTCTTTCTCTCTAATCTCCTCAAAGTTTTCTCCTCTCACGCCTAGAATTCCAGATTTCTTCTCCGATTAATTACTCCATCTCCGGCAGCTGGCGCACGACGGCGATTATGTCAGGTGGGCATTGTTTTTTTTCTTCTCCTTCCCTCCTCTTCTTCTTCTTCTTCTTCTTCTTCTCCATTCTTCTCCCTTTTTCTCTGTTCTTTTCCTTTGGCCTGCGGCACATCTCATGTGTTTGGACATCGTGAGATTCATTGCATCCAATTTTATGTATTTGTTTTTACTTCAATTTTCTATTGTTTTTTCCAGATCTACTTTTACGGATCTTCCACTTTACTGTTTCAATCTTTCTTTTCGTTCTTTTTTTAGTTTTTGTTTTATCTTTAGCACTATAAATTATATGCGAAGTATAATATTTAGGTTGTTTTAATCATTCTTTTTTGTAAATTTCATGCCAATTTTTTTGTTTAATAAGGAGTATGGTATGAAATTGAAGGTAATTTTATGGTATTGCGATAAAATATTGCTCCTTTCTAAACACAATATTAATTAATAATATAATTCCATGATTTTTCCTATGAAAATATATCTCTCGACATTTAGTGCCATTTTTTGACACTCCTCAATTAGGATGGCAAAAAATGCCAAAAACAATGCTAATATTGTCATATTTTTACATATAAAAATGTTATTTGTGCACATAGTGTCATTATCCGACGTCAATAATTTAAAATGTTCATAATCTATTTTAAGCTAATGTTTATGGTATTATGATATGTTATTCCATTTGAAAATATCATTTTGTCACATATTGTCATTTTTTTTTACATTAATTCCATCAGGATGGCAATTAAATACAATAGTCATAATACATGAAGCGTAAAAATTTTCGTTTAGTGCCATGTTTATGGCATTAACTTTATGACAATGGTAATATTTATTGTATGCCATAATGCCATAAATGTGTTAAGATGCAATATTAATGTCATTAAGATGGCACTCTTTTAAAATCACTTTTCAGATTTGAGAGTTGCAGTGGTGATGCCGGAAGTGACATAAGTGGTGCTGGACATGGTGGCGGTGACACGAGATCTGGCGGCGGCGGCGGACAAGACAGCGGTGGCAATGGAGATGGTCGGAGATTGGCTGTGGAGGCGTTTGACAGCGACGGCACTAGCGGCATCGACGATGAAGATGGAGGCGGCGGTCGGCGGCGGTCGGCGGCGTTCGGAGGCGGTCGGCGGCGGTCGGCGGCGGTCGGTGGTGATGATTGCTGGAAGGGCTGATGCGGTGGTGGGTAACTGGATAATGGTGGATTGTTGGTGAACATGAGATAACTGGCCGTTGCTCCTACCGAATCACACGGAACTTTATGCTCCTAGTTTTGCATTTTTTTTATATTTTACTCCCATTTAGGGAATTAACTCTTTATTCAATTCGTACTGTTCGTTCGTACGATATGTATGTGAGGCTAAACACGTACGATTCATCTAAAAACTACTCCGTGTAACGTAATATTATTGGATCAATTGCATGAATTACAAGTATTTATATTATACGTACGTACACATGCATGCCGATAAAATACTAGCTAGCTACGTAGGGGCCGGCCCTTTGAATATAATTGTATAGCACCAACTCTATGATCAATCGTAAGCAATTAATTGTTGATGATGGCCGGCCAGGCGCGCTCGCGGCGGCGGCGGCGGCCTTTAACTAATAATTAATTGGTGGGTTGATGATGGAGCTCAATATCCTCCTCCTCTGTAATCACTCTAACTCTGCTCTTGTAATGGTATGCTCGAGCAACGTACACAAAATACACCAAATTCACAACCCCCAAAGCTGCGATCACCAAGTAGTAGTATTCCAGTCTCCCCACGTTTATGTCCTTAGCCAGCCAACCAGAGGTTCTGTGCACAACGCTCACCATGAGCACGCTCAAGTAGCCCGCGCCCGCGCCCGTGACCGAGTACAGCGAGTTCGCCACGCTGCTCATGCTGTCCGGGAACTCCTTGTTGAAGAACTCGATCTGGCCGATGATGTTGAAAGCCTCCGCGAAGCCCATGAGGATGAGCTGGGGGGCCAGCCACATGACTGTCAGGGGCGCCACGCCGCCGTGCGCCACCGCCGACGCCCTTCTCTTCCGCTCCATCGCTCCCGACACGAGCATGCCCGCGATGGAGAACACGATCCCGATCCCGATCCTCTGCAGCATCGTGATCCCGCCCTCGACCCCGGTCCTCTTCCGCACCTCGGGCACGATGAGGCGGTCGTAGACCGGGATCCAGAGCGCGAGGGTGATCATGGAGACCACGAAGAGGGAGCCGGCCGGGATCTGGAACTTGGGGCCGATGTGGCGGTCCATTTTCAGAGCCTGCGACAATGTGAAGGTGCCCTGCTGCGCAACGGCTACCAAAGGTATGATTCCGGCTGCCCATATCGGGATGATTCTTACCAGGCATTTCACTTCTTCCGTTTGATGGATGCTTACTATCCGCCATCCACTACTCGCTGTTCCATCTTCCTTCAAATCTCCATCTCTTATCACTGCGGCTTTGTTTAAAATCCTGATCCAACACATGCATGTATACCACAACATTACGAGTATTCACTTGTACAAAGTATATGCTACTACTGCCATTCTCTTTTAGTCATATGTGTGTACATTTTCTCTTCCCAGTATTCACATTTTCTATTTTAACTAAAGTTTATTTATTAATGTCTTATACTATCCTCCGTTCCATAATTCTTGCAACAATTTGACTTTCACGTTTGTCAATGCACAACTTTGACTGTAATTATATTTAATTATGTATTAGTAAACATCATAAAAAGTTGATATTTTGGAAATTCACATTGATAAGAGTTCAATAACATTTTATACGTAATAATTTGATTATGTATATTAGTAGAAAATCATGGTCAAAGTAAGATCTGTGAATAGTGTAAAAATCACAATGTTGCAAGAATTATGGAACGGAGGAAGTACATTAAATTTTGAAAAATACAGTGACATTCATTTCATTTTAATATTTTAAAATCTGATTTTTTTTAAATTATTTCTACTAATAAGAAGTAAAAGATATTCATGGTTAAACTTGTGTGTTGTCAAATGTGAAAAATCAATCGTTGCAATTAAAAACAATGGAGAAAGTATATAAATATATAATACTCCCTATATGTCTCTGTTTATAAAGTTGAAATTATCCATGCATTCTAATATAAGGAGTAAGGACCATGTTTACAGGGCCGTAGATGAGGGCGTGCAAGAAGTGCTACCGCACAGGGTCCTCGATTCAGAAGGCCCAAAATTTTAAATACAGTCTATATAATATACAAAATTCTTTTTTATTTTATTAAATATTCCTATCTTAGTATTTAAAAAAACATCAAACAGTAATGTTTATATGTAATTAAAATGCAATTGTTAATTACAATTGTGCAATTTCTTTGTTACATAAGGCTTAATTACTGTAATTAACACAAAGCCCTCTTACCTTTGGGACGAGCTTGCATACTACTTTCTCTTTCATACTTTATCATTACTTTACTCTTCTTAATATATTTTCTTTCCTACTTTTTCATTTACCTTACACCTTTGTACTACCCCTACTATTTTCTTCTTAAAAACCACAAAAACCGAAGATTTAAAAACGGTGTCACTATTAATATTGTGTTTTATACTTCAGGGCCTCGATCATTTTCAATTTTTAACCGGGCCTTTTATAAGGTCGGGCCGGCCCTGCATGTTCATAATATCATGTGGTCTGGTGTAATCTAGTCTGTCAATTAAAGCATTTCGTTTTTTTATATTTTGAAGTACGTACATTGATTACTTTACCGGTAAGTAAAATTTCCTTAAAATGGAGTAAAGATAACGTCCAATTTCAAAAAAAAAAAAGTAAATTTTGATTTGTCAGCACAATGTTCGTTCATGTCAACTACGTAGTAATATAGATGTGTTAAAAATGCATAAAAATTAAAGTCTAGTGAAAATTGAACTCAAGACCTAAAATTCAGGACATTTTATTGTTGCATTGGTTTGGTTTGATGGATATTTATTTTGTGTGTATTTTATGGCCTAGCTTGATTTTGGATTGAAACTAGTAAAAACAATTATAGTCGAGGTAGATAGCATAAAATGAAAGTGTGCAGTAAATGAGATGAATGTAGACTTAATAAATTATAGGGATTGGAGGATATATGAATGAAGCTAACCTGTAGTCTTTGGTGAGGAGAAGCTTTCTCTTAACGGAAGAAGGAAGTGGAGGGTCGTAATAGGCGGCAGCAGCGTCGTGATCGGGGAGCTTAAGTTTGCGTTTGTGGAAGGCGGCAACGAGAACTTGAGCGATGATGGAGAAGACGCTGCCCTGCGGCTTGACGTAGACGTAGATGCGGGTGCCGACGAAGAAGAAGACAATGGCGAAGACCATGAGGGCGGTGGGGATGCCGAACCCCACCGCCCAACTCACCGAGTCCTGGATGTAGACGATGATGGTTAGGGAGAAGATGAGCACCACGGTGAAGGAGGTGTAGTACCAGTTGAAGAAGCTGCTGATCCCTTTCCGCCCCTCCTCTGTCGCCGCATCGAACTGGTCCACGCCGAAGGGGATGCTGCACGGCCGGATTCCGCCGGAGCCGATGGCCAGCAGCCCCAGACCGAAGAACAGACAACCCAGCTGTGATTTCGTGGGCCCCTTGCACTCGTGTGATTGGACCACGTCGCATTGCGGTGGTCGCAGACCTGGAACTAGCGCTATTATGGTCAATGTCGACATCCCCTGCACCATGCGCGTCAAACCATACATACTTGTTAATTGCTTGGTATTCGGGACATTTCCCTAAACCGGACTAAATAAATAAAAGATAATTATAACAATACAAGTTTAAATTCTCAAAATAGTACCCCTTCCTATCCTATTAGGATTTTTTTAATAATCATTATAAAACATAAAAAAATTAAAACAAAAAAATATATACAAACCTCAACCACCACCTGGCCACCTTCCACCACCGTTACCTCCGACCGTCGGAAAAAGATTGCCAGGTTGGGGGAAAATGTCATCTTGATTGCAATTTTGAAAAGAAAGTTAGATATTTCAAAGAGTAAAAATGTATCTTCATGGCATTTTCAGATTGGCATTTTTACACATGGTGACATTTTTTTCTGGCAATCGGAGGTGGTGGTGCTGAGAGGTGGAGGATGCGGAGGTAGAAGCCTACATATTTTTTTAGATATTTTTTTTTTATTTTTTTAGATTTTTTAAGTTTTTTAAAATATTTTTTATATTATTTATTTATTTTACTATATTATTGCAAAACTATTCCAGATATTTTTATTAATTTATAAATATTTTTTCAATGTTTGATGTTTTTATTATAAATAAAACTATGATTTTTTAATTAATAAATAAATATATTAGAATTTATAGGTTGGTGGTAGAATAGGAAGAAGATACATACAGAGTATATTACTCTTAGAGTATATTACTCTTAGAGTATATTACTCTTATTTTGGGAATAATATGAGGGGTTTAATGCACCAAATCCTCTCATGAAATATAAATTTGACGCATTAGCCCCCTGTGATTTAAAAAATGCGTAAAACCCCTTGTGTTATAATTAATCAAGAATCAACCTCCTCCAAGAACAAATTTAATTTCCAAAAAAATGAAAAATGGTTAGTTTTCTTGTATAATTTAGAAATTTTGACAAATATAATTGCATATTCAACCATACTATTATAAAAAATGATTTCAAAATTGTAAAATTTGTTCTTGATGGGGTTTGGTGCGTGATTAATTATAACACAGGGGGGTTTGACACATTTTTTAAATCACGAGGAGCTAATGCGCCGAATTTTAATTTCACGTGAAGGTTTGGTGCATTAAACCCATAATAGGAGTATAGGCCTAATGCGGAATTTTGGGCTACTTTTAGTCTCATTTAAGGCTAATAGCCGATTGTTATTCCATCAAATTCGAATATACCTTATCACACACATATGGGTTGTATAGTGGGACTTAGGATTGTTTTCAATCCCAGACCCAACCGGAATTAAATAGACTAGATCAGACTTAAACAGATCAGATCAAACCAAATCAGACTTAAACAGATCAGACCAGACTTCCGTAGTTACAAAATACAAAGAGACCAAACATTTAACATATCAGACCAGACCAGTTCAGACCAGAATTAAACAGACCAGACTTAAACAAACCAGACCGAACCAGACTAGACCAACAAATTACAATCCAAGTAAAAACATTTTACTTCTGTCCCAAATTAAACCACACATAAACATATTATCACTGTCAAATTAAAATTTAATTAAGAATTGATATCCTAATTAAGTGAATAGATGAGTCTGTTTGATACAAATGGCAATTTTTCAACTCAATTTGGGACTAGAGAGTATTATTTTTAGATTGATTGTATTTCTTGGTCAAATAACTTATAAAATTATAATTATTATATATAAGTATATTTATTCATTATCAATTTAAATAATAATAACTTAATAACATTTGCCAATTTTGTATTGTACTCCCTCCGTCCCGTTAAGATTTTTCCATTGTACCTTTTCAAGAAGTCTCACTAAGATTGTCTCATACCATATTTGGTAAAGTTTATGTGGCTCTAAATCATTTTTACTTTATTAATTTAATATCAACCACACAAACTCACTTTTCCTAATAATCGTGTCATTTTCTCTTGTCTCAATCTTAGTGGGACGGAGGTAGTAATAATTATGATATGAATAACACATTACGTTGTTAATGAATATATCTACAAAAATAGAACTTTACATAACTCTCAAAACAATCATCTTTCCACAGAAAGTCTGAGAGGAAAAATGAAAAAACATCCATAATCAAGAACTTTTTATATTGGATGTTTTCTTTTGGATTGTTTTTAGTTCCAGACCAGACCAAATCAGATCAGACCAGACCAGACCAAACCAGACTTGACTTCCGTAGTTATAAAATACACAGAGACCAGATGTTTACCAGACCGGACCAATTCATACAAGACCAGACCAGATCAGACCATACTAGACCAGCAAATTTCAGTCCAAAAGAAAACATCCATAATACCAAATCAAATCTAGAGCTCGGTTGGTGACTATGTTTTTCGACTTGTGAGATTTATCAGTCAAATTTTTTATTACACGCACTGAATTGTGTAGTAATACAAAAAAGTAAGATTAAAGTTATTTTTCTTGATGTATTGTCTGACGTTACTGTAAATGTCCAATATAACTATTTTCATATATTTTTTTCTTTATTTTAATAATAAGGTATATTTTAAATATAAGTTTTACAAAATTTATCAGAATTAGCTAAATGTGTCACTTCAGCCAGAACCTCAAAAGAAATAAGCCGATTCAATGGATTTTGATATTATCAAACGAATTTCTAATATGATTACACTAAAAGAATGGAGATAAATCAAACACTAGTTTCAAACAGATTAGTCGAGACCAAGAATTTAGACAAGAGCCTAGTTTTGACCAGACCTGCCTTTTCCAGCTCAGAAGAACAAGTCTAAGAAAAATTGTAATTAAATTCTAAAGTGCCAAGAAAAATTAAAATATTGTGGTATGCATATTTCTATAGTTGAAATTTAAAAATAGAAAGTACTATATTTTTCTTAAATAAGAGTAAATTGGCATTACTCTATTTTGGGCGATCAAGACACTCTTATTTTCATACTCCTTTTGTCCCTAAAAGGTTCACGTACACTATTCTCCAGTCAACGTGCATTTTTCTTAATCTTTTACTTTTTATATCTAAAATTTATGAAATTTAAATTATTTTTTGCAGGTTTTGTAACGGGTTTAATGTAGTTTCTGAATATGTAAATTTTATTTACTAAAAATAATTCTATTAATGACAGGGATCAGTTAACTTTATGGTCAGTCAAACATCATAAATCGTGTGGGAACCTTAAAGTAGGACGAAGGGAGTATCTTACTTTTCTTTTCGATTTGTTCCTTAAAAATGACCCATTTTCTTATTTGGTAAACAAAACAATGCAAAAAAGAGCCAAACAATGTCATTTTCTTTACTTGTGTGAAAATCAAACGGGACCTTAAATTGGGATGGAGAATAATAAAATACTCCCTCCGCTCCAAAATAAATTTCACACTTCTATTTTTTATAAATTTCTAATATAAAGTTACTCTTACACCATTACTTTATTACCTACTTTACACTCACTTTCTCTCTCTCACTCCACATAATCTACTTTTTGTAGGGGTATGATGAGAAAGTTAAAAACAAGAATTCCAGTCTCTTAAAAACTATAAAGTCAAACTATAAAATTAATTTAGGATTGAAGCAAGTAAAAATTATGTGGTTGAACTTTGTGCGGAGGAAAGAGAAAACACAAATCACACATTTATTGATTAAACAGAATAGTTGCAATGAAACAATCCGAAAAGAAAAATGAGATGGAGTGAATACATTTTTTACTCCTATTTCTCGGAAATATCTGAGTGTATAATGTTTGCTAAAACATTTCACCTTTCATTAGTTCCTTATTATCATCTCCATCCTACAAGTGGATGCAACATTCCATTTTGTTTTTGGCCTATCCCTTCCCCACTTACCGCCAATTATATTGGGTGTGGCACCAATTCAATCAATTTCATTAATGTATCAGTCATTCACGATACTTTCCTGTCTCCACCATAGTCAACTTTGGCCACGTTTAAATAGCGATCACGTAATATCCATCCCTCCAGCTACTGTTTTCAAATCGGCACAAGGCCACACTCAAAATGTTAATCATTGCCCACAACGGGTCTTTTTTGGACCATTGAAATTAAATGCTAGTTATGTGACACATTTTACAAGTCGATCAAATTGCATAATACAAACCGTTCTTTTTTATTAGTTCTCTTAGAGTTTGACACGAGTTTTAATAATAAAGTAGTAGGGTAAGTATAGAATGTGTAGGGTAAATGATAAAGTAGGAAAGATGGTATATTAAAAAGAGTAAAGTGATGATGAAGTAGGAAAGAGAATGTATTAAGAAGAGTAAAATGATGGTAAAGTAGGAAAGAGAAAGTAGTTTGTAAAAAGTAAGTGGGGTAAAAGTAATGAAAGTGGGAGTATTTTCTCAAAAACTTTCCTTAAAGGGAAAGAAGGACAAATAAAAAAAACGTCCCAAAAAGAAAAGAATGACTAATAAAAAAGAACGGAGGGAGTACATTTTTTATATTTTGTGAAGAAAATTGTTTTTTTGCATATTTTTTTGTCAATGTGAAAAATGATTCTTTTCATAAAACAAAAAAAGGGTGTGTGCAAAGACTATTAGGCAATTTCTAGGATATGATACTTTAACGTATATATCCAACCTTGTCCTAATCAAATAAAGACTATGACCGGCCAAATGCATATTACGTGTAATGCCCTCCTTTTTATGATTAGAGAAGCATTCACATTATTGTTATTATTGTTACATCCCTCTACGTGCACTATTTTAATTTCTTTTTAATAATCTGTACTCGTATTTAGAAAAAAATTAATTTTAATGGTACACCACTGTTAAAAGCTCTTAAATTCATAATTTTATAACTTATTGATGAATGAATAATACTAGAGCTGAAATAATGTAAAATTAATCATTTAAGTTTTCAACATATGGTTTAATTTAACAACTGCATAAAAAATAAAATTACAAACTTTTTAATTGGCAGGAGAAAAAGTTATAGGAAATCAATTAAACATAGTTTTGTGGTTGTCAAACAGATATCGCTATGACCTACGACAAATTAATACTCCGTATCTTTAATTTGATGACAAACGAATCAACAGCCCATGAATATCGTTAGGCTTGGTAATGGATATATTTTATTTCATTTATCCAAACTGAAATCATATTAGACATTACGGAGTATTAAAAATGGTGGCGGCCAGTTTAAACTTTAAAATGTCAAAGTTCAGATAACACGGAGTATATAAAATGATAATGTCTGGAAGATCGGGAGACTCAAAAAGTCTCTAAACACCAAACCAAACGTGCTATAAATGGACCAAAAATCATAGGTTATGTGGCAGTGTACACTAATTTCTTTTATTTCCTTCGAATTATCATCATTGGAATTTAAGGTTTAGGCATATTCATCTTCCTAAAATTTTTTGTATTATTATTGTCGGTAGTTTTATGTGAGTTATTAGTGTCAATATTTTTATGGGGAAATCCTAGCGGTTGTCCCTTCCTTTTCTCTTCTTTTCTTCTCTTCTTTCAATCTTCTTTGATTTTAACACTGAAAAAACTTAGTCAGTTCTATTCATTTGTTTCTTTCCCAACGTTGTTTGGAAATATTATTTTCGGTAGCGAATTATTGTTTGTCAGATGCATATTCCTCGCCATCTTCGGTCAGACGTTCTTGTATGCTAAGAAGAGATTTGCACTAATCTCTTATTCTCTTCATCAATCAAAAATATGATTTTTTTCTAAAAAAAAATATGATTTTCTTCTAACCAGACCACACTTAAAAGATCAGATCAACTTTCATAATTATAAAATAAACAGAGATCAGACATTTAACATGTACAACCTTGACTTTGACCATACTCTAATAGGCCAGATCGGAACATATCAACAAATTTTAATCCAAAAGAAAACATTCTAAGTTAAACTTGGTCAAATTTTATGGTGTGAGAAGTATTATTTTTTGTCACACGGCTCGTCAAAACTGACAGGCTGTAATTTGAAATTGTATATATAGCGGAAATGATGAACCTATTCAATGATGAAGTATTTATATTTAAGAAATGGTAAATAAAGAACAAAAAAATATTGGGATCCACCAGACCATCACAGATTGGGTTTGAGAGCCGTGTGATATAAAACTGTTCAACTGATTGATCTGAAATTATCTCGGGCCTTTAATTATTCACAACCGAGAAATGAACAAATTAATGTCTAGTAAAAGTATGCCTGATAAGCAAAAGAAAATTTGTCCTAAAATAGGAAGTAAATAGATTTTGAAATTTCAAAATAGTATTTTTTTCTCGAAATAGGAGTAGACAGTGACATGATTGAAAAATATTACTACTGATAATAAATATTTTTATGTTGAATGCATTAACGTACTGCAACTAATTGACATTAATGACTACAAGATGACAGTAAATATTGTTATGTTACTCCTATTTTGAGAATAAAAACATACTCCCTTCGTCCCTTAAAACTTTGCCAACTTTCCTTTTTTGGATGTCCCACTAACTTTGCCACTTTCCCTTTTAAGTAATGAATTTGTGGTTCCAGTTAATTCTCTCTCCTCTGCACAAACCTCAACCACACAGTTTTTACTTTATTAATCCCCGTGCCGGTCAAACATGGCAAAGTTTTAAGGGACGGAGGTAGTACTACGTATATAGCAATCCCATTTTATAATTCCAAAACTCGTTTACTCTTATTTCGGCAAATTCCCCAAGCAAAACAATGATATTATGATACTGTGAAATCAAGGGTATTACAAGAGCTAACTTTTACACCAATAAGCAAGAGCTTTTTGAAATTTGGGGTAAGTTGAGGCCTAGCATTGTCCCTACTTCCGCCCCTACTTGATATAATGTTTGAGAGAGTAAAATGGTGATTCGAATTTGTTTCAAATAGCTAGAAAGAGTAACTATTTGCATAAATGATCGAAAGATGAACTTTATTTAGAATTCTATAAGATAATGAAATTGGTTTGGAGAATATTGAAGAATCCATTTAGTAATCCTACTTTGGGTTTAATATTCAACTGTATAATGATGATGAAATTGCTTTTCAGAATGATGCATCCAAAACTTCATCAATTTCAGATGAATTAACTAATTCAGTCAATTTTCGTGAGTAATAGCCATTAGTGGTTGGCTCAGTACTACCAAATGAGCTTTAAAGCTAGATTGATAGTATAGAAAATGTTTAAATTGCCTGAAATTCCAATTGAAATAATTGAATTAGTCAACTTTATTCCGTCATGGGAAAAAATGGAGTAGTATCATTGATTTACAATTTTCCATATGCTTTCTAGAACGAGGGTAAAGGACCAATTTTAAAAGTAGTCCGTAATACCAAATTTAAAAAAAAAAATGTGTTTTGGTGAAAATGTTGTCTCAATTAAGCTGAATATTCACTAGTGTGTGTTTAGGGCAGTGATATGACTTAACACGTATGGTAGGTACGCAATAATAATAAAACGACAAAGAGGATCGGAAGAGCAGACAGCAAACAATAATTGAATCATAAAGGAAATTGGGGTCCAAATTAAAGTATGGCAGTGCATGCATTGTTTGGGAGAAACGATAATTGAATGATGTAAGTCAACAGATAAATAATTAAAATCGAAAAGAAGGTAGTGCGTGGTATGTACGTACGAAGATTTCAGCGATGGAGGAGAAAGCGATGGTCCAGAATCGGCCGAGGTAAGAGTCAGAAAGGAAGGCCCCGAAGAGAGGGATGAAGCTGGTGACAGCGGACCAGATGCTCATCATGTTGGAGGCCGCCACGATGTCCATGTGATACACTGTCAGCAAGAACACTGAGAAGTTCGCCATCAACCCTGTTGATGCCAGCCTCTCAAATGTCTCGTTCCCTGCATGTAACCCATCAATCATCAATGCCCGCCCGCCCGCACTTTAATTTAATTTTGTACTGCCATCCATATATATGCATGTGTGTACAGTGTACGTACGTACCTAGAACGTAAGGCATGGCTCTCCACCCGCCAGGCGGCTTCTTTTGGGTCATCGCCGCCGGAGCCTTTTCAGGCCGCGACGGTGACAGAGGAAGAGCAAGAGAAGTTGACATTAACGCGCTACCACCGCTCTTCAGGTTACTACTGCGGCGGCTATCACCATTATTTTCCTCCATCCTAGCAGCTACCTACGTGCCGGCCGGCCTTTTCTCATCCACTTAATTATTATTGCACCTCATTCATTTTCTTCATTCTATTTATAGCCTATCGGGGTGACGCCTCACGCGCGCAGCAATACTGTGTCTTTTTTCATACTAACAAAAGTTGTTCTCGTCTTATTCTTATTATTACTTATTGACTATTCTTATTTTATTGAGATCAGATCAAAAAAATTCTGATCAGATCAAATCAAATCAGAAAAATTCAAAACAGGTCCGATCAGAACTTAAAAAATTCAGATAAAAAACATTAACATCAGGTGAAGAGAACAACTTCTAACTATCCCCCTTTTTATTTGGTTATCATTAACTTTTTCGATCAAACATAGACAATTTTGATCCATTATACTAAAACTTTGTCAGAATAATAAAATAAAAAATGTGTGATTGAAGTTTGTGCAGAGAAGAAAGAAATAACAGAAATCCCAAAATAAATGATTAGAGGAAAAATGGAAACTAATAATTCAACCTTTGCATCCCATCTTCATTTGTCGGTCCTTGACCGGTTAATGACCTGTTATTCCAAGTTATTTTCTTATTTTTGCAAAATATTATCTTTGTCAAAGGTGAGATTTATGGTATAATGGTTTGCAAAGATAAGAAAATAACTTGGAATAGCAAGTCATCAACCGGTCAGGGACCAGTGAATGAATATCAGAAGCGGGTTTAGGGGCAGTTTGCCAAGAAAATAACTGTGCCTTTTTCACACAGTAACTCTCCCCCTTTTTATTAAGTTATCATCAATCCTTAAAAATTTGCCAAAGTTGATCGGCATAGAGAATAATAAAGTAAAAACTGTGTGGTTGAAGTTTGTGTAGAGGTGACAGAAATAATAGAAACCACAAAATAGTTGATTAAAAGGGAAATTGACAAAGTTTTTTTAAGGTACAGAGGGGGTATTAATTAGAAAAAAGGGTCAAATAAGGTCTTTTACTATTATGAAATCGTCACATAAGATCGTGTACTCAATAAAGTGTCATATCAATACGTCTACTTATAAAAAACAATCAAATGAGTTCTGTTTTAGGACCTTTTAACAACCTCGTAATCCCGATTTTAATGTACATCCGACTATCTTTTTAAAACAAATTATAAGGCTAATGTGGAATATTTAGTCAGGATGAACATAAATACAAGGCAAAAATAACGACACGTAAGATAAAATCGAGATTATGAGGTTGTCAACGGGTCGTTATGACTCATCCGGTTGATTTTTATAAGTAGACGTATTTATTTGACACTTTATTAACTATGTGACCTTATGTGACGATTTTGTTATAGTAAAAGACTTTACTTGATCATTTTTCCTATTAATTAATATATTTGTGTGAAATTTAATAAAAAAAATACTATTGTGTAGTATTTTTAATAAAAATATTTTCATATCATAATGGAAATATTATTGTATATGAATATTATAATCGATCAAAGTTTATTATATTTCATTTGAAAAATCAAATTTAACTAGATAAAAAAGGACGGCAAGAGAACAGGAGTAACATATTTTAATTTACTAGCCCCACTATTTGTGGGTTATTATCTATCAATTTCAATTCATAATCCGTCTATTTTCCAAAATTCTATTTAAGAATGTAAAGACTTTTCATTGACTAGTGTTGTTTCCAATACGAAATTAGGGACAAGATTTCCCACAATTCCTTATTTTAAAATTGGGAATGTATTCCTCACACCTAGAACGGCCCTAAATGGGATGATCTTTCCCTTCGCTTCTACTTTTAAAAAAAAGTGATTTTTAATAGTTTTTAAAATTAAAAGTAGGTAGTCTTTTAAAATTAAATAGAAAGCCTTTAAGAAATAATGACTTAAATATTACTTCTAGAGTTTTGTTGGATCAAAATATGACTAATTTAGTCCATGATGACCACAAAGTTACTTTGAAAAGTTTGGAACTTACAATCCTTGTTCAATTCGGCTGCTCAAACTCTTCCTCTCCCAGCGGACTATCTCCCCTCCAACGACAAAGAACTAAAACGATGTGGCTAAGATGATAGGTTGCTCCGCCTCAGATTGTCGCTCGGATTCTACATTGCCACGTTCAGGTCGCCGGCCATCACACTGCCCACCGCCTCACCCTGCACCGCTGTTGTCCCTTGCATTGTTGCCGAATGCCGATGTAACCAAGATCGTCGTCACCGCGCCGCTGCACGCCTCTGTCGCATTCTTCTTCTTCTTCTACTTCTTCTTCTTCTTCTTCTTCTTCTTCTTCTTCTTCTTCTTCTTCTCTTTTCTCCGCTAATCAACACTGCTCCCAAGCAGTGGCATATCCAGGAATTGTTGTGAGCGGGGGCGAATTTACATCACATATTCTCTCGATCATATCACAAACAATTGAATATAATAGGATTTTTTTAGTGAAGTTATTTATAAATAATAAAATATTTGTTTGACAAAACATGAAAACATACTTAACAAATTTCATAAATAAATTAGACGAGTTGAATAAGGGATGTATATTGTATATATTTAGTATTAACGTAAATTGTGAATACACAATTATATCTAAAAATCAACTTATATTTAGTGCAAAAATGTAATTGCAAAACTTTATAAGTTATACTACATTCGTTCTCTTTTAGTTGCAACGTTGGTGATTTTGTTTTATTCACATATTTTACTTTGACTATATTTTATTTATTAATGTATTAAAAATTAAATTTTTGAGAAATATTATTAACTTATCTCATTTTAAATTATCAAAATCTAATTTTAAAATTTTTTTGACTACTAAAGAATGAAATACATTTGTTGGGATATTGGGTCCAGGCCCAATATCCCAGACCCAAAGTATGAGGAAACCAGGAGGAAGCATAAGGCCCGGCCCAAAGCAGTCCAGACCCGTTCGGCATTCGGCACATTGCTTATACTTGGAACATTTCAGGAAACAATTACACCCAAAGACCCATGGCGGGGTCCCGCACACCGAACGCCATACCCGAACGGGTGATCAGCAAGTGGAGGCCGCATTTAATGCAAAAGCATGGCAGCAGCAAGTGAGGGCATGGGTTCCTACGTGGTAGGGGGCACAGCCTACCGGATTCGGCCACGTGTCCAGCTTTCCCATCCCCATTTTAGTATAAATACCTGCATTAATAGCATTGTAAGGGGTTAGCATTTTAATACGCAGAGCTTAGCAAGTAGAAACACTTCTCTTATTCTTGTATTCTTGTTCTCACCTACCGTTCAGGTAGTTCAGTGTAATCACAGCATTACCGAATACGAGTAAGCTCCTGAGTTGAGCAATCTTTCACTGTTTTACATTTTATACACTTTCCAAACCAACCCAACATCCCTACAATATCCAAAGCTTGTGTTGGGCTTTCGGATCTTCGGGACTAAACCTCAACATTGGCGCCGTCTGTGGAAAACTTGAACAAAAATCCCAAGCAAAACCGTTGATCTAAGCACCGTTTTTCTTGAAATGGCTAGAATCACTACAGCAACACCGAGTTCTACTTCCAGAGGCCAGAGAGGCAATGGATCATCTGAGGGGTGGTCCACGCAGGGGCATGCCAGTGGTAGTGCCACCCAGGAGTTCAACAACATCATCCCTCTCGATGTGAGGAGAAACCCTCAACTGATGAGGGATATGGCGGAAGCCATGCAGCGCATGGCAGACGAACAGGAACAGGAAGGACACACCGACGAAACTCATGAACAATTCTCCCCTGTTCGCCCCATGCAATCCTTTGATGGAGGAGAAGACACTGAGACCACAACTGCCTCAGTACATTCCCAGGAGTGCCGGGGAAGCCAGTGGAGGGCCAACGCCCCCAGGTACGCACAACCGGCCAACCGAACCCCGTTCGTGCCTTGGAACGAAGCCCAGTATAGGGAGGCTACCCCCATGGTAGATCCTGTGAGGCAGAACTTCCACTATGTGGAGAGGAACGGGGAGCGTTTCATCCGGAGGAGGGCAAACACAGCTGCCCCTCCCCCGTACAGGATGCCAGAGTTTGTGGAGGCAAGGATACCACAAACTCCCCAAACGGCCCAAGACGAAGAAATTGCCGAGATGAGAAGGCAGATGACCGAGCTCAGAGAGCAGATAAATCGGACACCTCAGCAAACCCCGCCAGCTCGGGTTGGGATTACCTCTCCCTTCACCAGGGAGATTATGAATGCAGAGATTGTGAGGGACTGCCGACCCCCGGCCTGTTGGGTTTCGGGCAGAAAAACGCAGCGGAATAAACAAAAATTTTTCTACCCAAAAGTAAATGAACGGATCTGAGGTTCTTATTATAAACGAAATTACAAGAATTTAAGAGGGACTTACATAGCAATCTTAATCAAGGATGTCAGACAGTCCGAGAAAACGATCCCGAGCTCTACCGGTATCCACACGCACGTGACTGGATCGGCCGCAGGGAACGTGCTAGCGTTCTCTTCTTTCTTCCTCTCTATTCTAGGTTTGAGAAGTGAATTTTTAACTCTTAAAATTCGTGGGTCTCCTTAGCCCTATTTATAAGAGGTGGAAAGAAGGAGTTTTATGGCTAATAAAACCCTTAAAGAGGCCCTAGCCCAATACCATTCGAAACCCTCTTTCGAATTGGGCTAATCAAGCTATTTTAATGTTATTAACAAACATTAATGATCCAAATCACTTAGGTGTGTGACCCTGTAGGTTTATATATTATTGGCAGTGGGCTAGAAATTAATTCGAGCCTCACAAATCATAAGCGGTCTCTAGCAAGGCATTATGACTATCCAAAATATATAAATGTCAATTAAATCTGACATAACCTTTTAATGATTAATTTGTGCTAATAATTCTCTTTTGTCAAACGATATCTTAATTGAGACAAGGTTAGGTCGTGTCATCCTTGTTATTCTCAATTAATATTTCTTGATTACCAAGTAAGATTAATCTTGATCAAATGACACCTCATTTGAGCATGGCCATGCTAATTAATCTTACTTGTCAAGGGGCCCAATAGATATCTTTCTCTCGATGTACAAGAGTGACAAAAACTATCTTGATAATTCACATACTACTACATGGTTCATAATATGTACAATCACCACCTTTATAATTATCCAGTTAAAGATAACATTTAATGGTGTTAATACATATTAATTCTCATGCTAGTAACCATG